AATGTTTTCCTGGCACTGGAGAATCCTTTTAATCCTGCAACTGGGCGCCTCCATCTTGCCTTCCTGTCAATCATTGTTATAAGCTCTGTCCTTTACACCTGGCGATCAGCATAGAGCAAGAATACAGAAAAGAGATGAAACAATGTTTCTTTTTCTGCTACTCATTTGACATGTGTGCCCTGACTGTGCCTTGGTTGAACAGGATCGCATAAAACAAAGGTTACTATAAGTTAAAGGTAATTTTCACAATTTTATTCAATAATGCAATTTTCAGCGAAGCCACAGCTTCCCCTTTAAAGCAAACCTAACTCAAATATAAAATAAAATAAAGCTAAGACAAAACAGCTATCTTTTGGTAATGTTTTATTGTTACGGTTTTTAATGAAAATAGAATGTGCAGACTTGTTGAGAACAAAATATAGCCAGTCCCTCCTACAGTGACTTACAGTGACTGGCAAATTGGATTTATTACGAGATAAAGTAATTTGGATTCAAAGAAAAGGCAGAAAACATTTACTTGTATGAAAGTGTAAAAGCCAGACCAGTCACTGGGGTCTTCCCATATATTTGATTGTAAGCTCTTTGCAGCTTTAGAAAGACAACGTGAAGTGCAATGATGGTGATAATGCATGACAAACGCAATAATTAATGAGCGGCCTGCGGTCCATTCTGTTAAGTGCAGGGAGCTGTCAGAAGCAGCGTAATTAATTTAAAGAGCTAACATTGGGGGAGGGCTTGTTGCCTATGGAGCTGGATCCTTCAAACCTTCTAAATTTTTAAATGGTGTTTTAATGTTCTGTATAAAGTCCTGAAATAGATCTAGACAAGGAATGAAAAGTCTGTGCTTTTTGGCTTGCTATCTCACTAAAGGTCTGCCTGTCTGCGGTGTCTAACAGTCCCGCTAGCTGTCGGTATTTTAAATATCTGTTACTGTGTTATCTCTGCACATGATAAAATAGCAAAAATAGTTGTTTCCTTTATAAGAAGTTATAAGTGTACAACGCAGGGTGATGATAACAGTCAGCTCTCCAATAACGGGTATGATAGGTAATTCTGCGCCACACACCAGTGGGCAAATGGAATACGGAATCTGAAACTGGAAATATGGTATATGTGAGGTAATTCTATATTATTTATATTTTTATATTGCCCACATATTTCACTGTACAACAGTTGGAGTATCAAATAAGTATATGCAACAAAACATACTGCAATGTACAGGAACAGAAGGTGCCCTGCTCAAAGGAGCTTAAATTCTAAGGGGACTGGGGTGTAATGACACAAGAGGTAAAAGTTAAAAAAATTGATTTCATACAAACTAAAAACTGGTTACGAGGCAAGTTTGCAATAAATTAGATCTATGAACATTATATGATGCAGTTGGAGTAAAGGAAAAGAAACAGGTTAGTGAAGTGTAGGAAGGAAAGGGAGGCTGCTAACAGTCACACTAGTTTTGCTATTGTGAAAAGGATGCTGAGAGCTTAAAGGACCACTATAGGCACCCAGACTACTTCAACTTAATGAAGTGGTCTGGGTGCCAGGTCCCTCTAGGATTAACCCTTTCTTCTGTAAACAAAACAGTTTCAGAGAAACTGCTATGTTTACCTATGGGTTAATCCAGCCTCTAGTGGCAGCCCCTAGAGGTGCTTCCGCACTTCTCACTGTGATTTTCACAGTGAGAAGACGCCAGCGTCCATAGGAAAGCATTGAGAATGCTTTCCTATGGACTGGCTGAATGCGCGCGTGGCTCTTGCGCATTCAGCCGATGACACGAGAATGGAGAAGGAGAGTCCCCTGCCCAGCGTTGGAAAAACAGGTAAATTTAACCCCTTCCACTCCCTAGAGCCCGGCGGGAGGGGGGCCCAGAGGGTTGGGGGGACGAGTATGTTTTCCTGGCACTATAGTGGTCCTTTAAATGTATATAAATGCTTTTCATTTATTTCAAGTAAAATAAATGTATTTGAGTAGCATCATGTTACCATTTCTTCTGGATATTGCAAACAGCGGCGGATCTTCTGCAGGCCAGCATTTTGAGGGGGCCCTGATGGACATGTGTAATCAGGTGCCCGGTCCTGCGCTACCCGCTTTAAAAGCGCAAACAGGCCCCTCTCATGTAGGCAGCTCTGAGAGAATGTGAGAGCCTGTCACTCCCTCCCAGCTTACACAGAGCCATGTGGAAGGGTGAGGTGGAGGAGTGGACTGAGAGATAAAGTCCCTATTCCCATACATATACATACATAAATACACACACACACACACACACACACAGACATACATAAAATATATATACATACTGACAAACATACATACCGACATACATGCACACATGCACACACACATACAGATTGACATACATACACACATACATACTGACATATTGACATACATATTGTGACAAACTCCCCTTTTCTTGTAAGTTTGCCACGAGTTTTTGGAGGGGCCTGCTTGCCAGCCTTTTACCCTGTGACTATGGCCCCTGGGATGTTTTGCCTTTAACAACTCTATTTGGGCATACTGAATTTTAAAACACCTTTTCTGCCCCTTTTAATCAATGGGAAAATATGCCTCTTCCCCTCCCCCTTTTTTCTGTCCTATTGTTCTCCAGCAGGGCATTGCCCCAGGGACACTGCCAGACCAGTTGAAACTGGCTGCTTTGTCCTGCCTCGATCTCTATTCAGTCCTTGCTATTATTTAACCCCATTGAGATCCAACTGTATTCGTGGGATCTGAGCGCTTTTCGGACACATTGATGGCTCAGATCCAAGTTATCTGGGGATATGTTGGACATATAGGTTAAACATTGTATTATAAGAGTTGTGTATTTTTATGTGGTTTTTGTAACAGTTTTTGACTTAATTAAGTTACCACAGTCACTTAATGCAATTATCTCCAGGATAGAGGAGAAGATAGACCGGCCGCACAGCCTAAATCTGTGGAACTGTTTTTGGCATGAAAGTCCTGCTTGCGGTTGGTCAAATAAGACTTCCATAAAACTTTTGAACCCCTGCTCTGATCTGGGAGATTTTTGGATATGTTGTTCACTCAGATCAGGGCTATCCAGGGATGTTGGATTTATGGGGATATGTTGCTGTTTTGGGGTGTTTCTGTGTTTTGGGTAAAAATTGCATATTTTCTGTCTGTGCTAATTAAATTAGCCCACTGTGTTCAGTTATTGTATCACAGGCAGAGGGAAGGGTTTGTGTGCCTTAGCTGGGAGTGTCTCACTGTACTCAACTGTGTCTCAACTGGGAGTGTCTCAACTGTGTTGATTGGCTGTTGTAACTTTGTGTCCTGTGTACCACAAGATCCACGTGGGTGGTAACCTTGTGGGAAAATGTGTAAATAAGAAATGCCTTTGTGCTCATTAAACCAGTTCTACTTCACCCTCAATTTAGAGTCCTGTCTCTAATTGGGGGAAATAGCTACAAGGGATTGCTATGCTCGTCATACTCCCTTGGATAATCACTAAGCTCTTTCAAGAGCTTGTTCCTACTTCACTCTCTGGGGAAGGAGAGGTTCACCCACTGGAACCTGGAGCCTTGTCGTAGGTCCAGGGTGGGTAGGAGACAGCGAGACCCGAACCAAGCTGCCGCAGTCCGTGGTTATGGTGTCTAGTTGAGCGTTTGGAGCCCTCATGAAGCGCTAGGAGCATCCTTCAATGGAGGTACCCAGTCGGGGTGCCAGGTGATCCGTTACACATACTGACATACACATACAGGTGATTCTCAAAAAATTTGAATATCGTGCAAAAGTTCATTTATTTCAGTATTTCAACATAAAAGGGGAAACAAATATATGAGATAGACGCATTACATGCAAAGCAAGATAGTTCAAGCCGTGATTTGTCATAAGTGCGATGGTTATGGTTTACAGCTCATGAAAACCCCAAATCCACAATCTCAGTAAATTAGAATATTGTGAAAAGGTGTGTCCCACTCTAATCAGCTAAGTAAGCCATAACACCTGCAAAGGGCTTCTGAGCCTTTAAATGGTCTCTCAGTCTGGTTCAGTAGGAATCACAATCAAGGGGAAGACTGCTGACCTGACAGTTGTGCAGAAAACCATCATTGACACCCTCCAGAAGGAGGGAAAGCCTCAAAAGGTAATTGCCAATGAAGTTGGATGTTCCCAAAGTGCTGTATCAAAGCACATTAATAGAAAGTTATGTGGAAGGGAAAAGTGTGGAAGAAAAAGGTGCACAAGCAGCAGGGATGACCGCAGCCTGGAAAGGATTGTCTGGAAAAGGTCATTCAAATGTGTTGGGGATTTTTAACAAGGAGTGGACTGAGGCTGGAGTCACCACACACAGACGGATCCTGGACATGGGCTTCAGATGTCATATTCCTCGTCAAGCCGCTCCTGAACAACAATGTCAGAAGAGTCTTACCTGGACTAAAAAAAACAGACCTCGTCTGTTGCTCAGTGGTCCAAAGTCCTCTTTTCTGATGACAGCAACTTTTACATCTCATTTGGAAACCAAGGACCCAGAGTCTGGAGGAAGAATGGAGAGGCACACACTGCAAGATGCTTGAAGTCCAGTGTGAAGTTTCCACAGTCTGTGTTGATTTGGGGAGCCATGTCATCTGCTGGTTTTGGTCCACGGTACTTCATTAAGTCAAGGGTCAACGCAGCCGTCTACCAGGAGATTTTGGAGCACTTCATGCTTCCTTCCGCAGACGAGCTTTATGGGGATGCTGACTTAATTTTCCAGCAGGACTTGGCACCTGCCCACACTGCCAAAAGCACCAAAGCCTGGTTCAATGATGTGGGATTACTGTGCTTGATTGGCCAGCAAACTCGCCTGACCTGAACCCCATAGAGAATATATGGGGCATTGCCAAGAGAAAGATGAGAGCATGAGACCGAACAATGCAGAAGAGCTGAAGGCCACTATTGGTGCTATTGAAGCACCCTGGTCTTCCATAACACCTCAGCAGTGCCACAGGCTGATAGCTTCCATGCCACGCCACATTGAGGCTGTAATTGCTGCAAAAGGGTCCCAAACCAAGTACTGAGTCCATATGCATGCTTATACTTTTCAGAGGTCCGATATTGTTCTATGTACACTCCTTGTTTTATTGATTGCATGTAATATTCTAATTTACTGAGATTGTGGATTTGGAGTTTTCATGAGCTGTAAGCCATAATCATCGCACTTATGACAAATCACGGCTTGAATTATCTTGCTTTGCATGTAATGCGTCTATCTCATATATTAGTTTCCCCTTTTACGTTGCATTACTGAAATAAATGAACTTTTGCACGATATTCAAATTTTTTGAGTATCACATGTACACACTGACATACATACACACACATCCTCCTGTTTCTTACCTTTTCATTGCAGGAGGCTGGCTGGGGCTGATGGAAGTCGGTGCGGCTCTCCCCTCCTTGTGGTCTCCTCTCTGCCTCCTCCCTCCTGCGTGGAGTGAAAATTGCTTGGAGGAAGTGACCCAGCAATATTAGCGGCTGCAATTTTTTTTTTTTTAAAGGGGCCCGGTCGCGCTATTACACAGTGCTGACCGGGCCACTGAAGATATAGGGCACATCAGGTGGCCCTGAATGTTGGGTCACCCGATGGTCCCTATACGCGTGCAGCAATTAATCTGGACTAGGTCTGATGGTGGGGTGTAGTCGTTTGGTGAGAGTTTAGGTGTAGACTTTCGGTCATGTAGGAGCTTGGGTACTTTATCTAGTCTAACTGGCCCGGTAAAGTGCCTGCTTGAGGGGAGCGTCTCTATGTGGTTGCGTAGCGCTATCCCGGGAGGTCGGGCTCCTATGTCAGTTGTACCCCATGACCCCGGAGCATTGGGGGGTGAGGGGGGGAGATTGTATATCTTCTGAGCAGCGAGATGTGTGTGTAGGGTGTGTCATATCATGTGTGTTTAGCCTATTGTGTGGCGGCATAGAGGTATTCGTAACAGGTAAGGTGGTAATGGTTAAACACAATGGAGGTATGGGATATGTGCATATTTCTTCGTGGACAAACTTGAGAGGCTTATGTAGCCGGTGGGGGTTGGTTCAGCTCTTGGCTCCCCGTTTCTCTCTGGGTGCGTGGTTCGTCGTGGTAGTACTTGCGGCCTGAGGGCTGGTGGTTGCGTTAAGTTCTCTGCATGTTGGAAGATTCCCAGCGTTGCCAGCAGTACCGGACCATCCTTAAGATCAGTGGCCTTGTAATGTTGTCCATCCTTTGTTACCCAGAGTGTTCCTGGTGTTGCCCATTGATAAGCGATTCCTGCTGTGTGGAGGGGCTTGGTTATGGGTTGCATTGTTTTGCGCCACACCAACGTTGCCCTGCTTAAATCCTGGAAAAAGGAAAGTTTGCACGTTTCGAATTCATAAGGTGTGTTTCCGCAAAGTGCAGCTAGCAGTCCCAACTTGTCGGACATTGTGTGGCATCGCAAGATGAGGTCCCGAGGAGCTGTCTGAGGAGCTTTTGGCGATTTGGAGATTCTGTATACCCCATCGAACCCAAACGTTTTGACATGTCTCATTGGTAGTAGTGTGGCCACCAGGCGTCTAATAAAATGGGGTAGCTCTTCTATCGCTATTGACTCTTTTACCCCTCTGATTTTGAGGTTCTTGTGTCTGCCCCTGTCGTCAAGTATGTTTATTTGTTTTGCCATATTCGCCTGTGTGGATTGCAGTTGTTGTATACTGTCTTCCATTGTGTTGAGACACTGTATTAGGTCTGTTACTTTGGCCTCTGTTGCTTGAGTTCGTGCTGTTACTTCTTGCACTTTAGTAGAGAGCTTTGCCAGATCAGCTTCCCACATCTGCCTTAAGTTGTGTTGGAGGCCTGTCAGCATCACTTGGATGTCGCTTTTGGAGGCAGGTGTGTTGTCCTGAGGGCCCTGACAAGGCTCCAGGGGTTGGGGGCTCTGTGGAGGGCTGTCTAGTGGGTCCCCATCTTCTGGTGGTGATGGTGGGGATGAGGCCTCCCGGGGGGTCTGGGCCCTAGCTGCGTTTGGCATTTGCAGTAGTTGGCCTATGTCCCGCTGGGGTTTTGGGGTTGACTGGGGCATTTTTTGTACCTTGCACCCCATCTCACCTCTAGGTGGGGTGCCAAGGATGTATTCCTCCGGATCTAGTGTGTGCCACTGCAGGAGCCCTCCTGTGACGTCTCACTGTTTCCCGCCCACGAGGTAGGCCCTGCTGCCTCGGCGTCTAGTTTTGGAGCCCGGGGACAAAAAGAATGGCATCTGCGGAATCCGCGGGCGATGGCTTATCTCGTTGCCGTCTATGTGGTAGGATGGCTGCGATTTACCCCGGATTGGGTTACAAAATCACAGAGCTCAGGGAAATGGCGTCTGCTCTCGTGTGGCATTAGGCTCATTGTTAACAGCACCATAACAGTTGAGAAAAAATGAACGTGCTCCCTCATCTTTGCCCATGTTGCATACCATAGGTTCATCCTTCAATGGACAGTCTTTGGCCATATGACCATCCTCTTTGCACTTGAAACATTTGACAGTAAAATCTGACCACCAATTAGTTCCTCTCCAAGGCCTATTAGACCTGGATGCGCCCTGGTGTTTTGTGTATAGAGCTGCAGCTCTTCAGCTCCCCTTAAACCTTGAACAGTCTTACCAGGTCTTGCAGAATCTTGTGGCTAAGGATTGCGGGGTTTTCTTGTAAGGTAGGACGTAGCAGTTCTCCTGCAGCCACATATCTTTCCACCAAGGCAATCAGTTGGTCTGCTGTATGGGGATCACTCTGGCTGACCCAGCAACGCAGGGCAGCTGGTAAACCACGCAAAAACCGGTCCATTACTAAGGTTTCCACAATGTGGCTAGCTGAATGGATTTCAGGTTGTAGCCATTTCCGTGCAAGGTGTATGAGGTCAAACATTTGGGAACGCGCTTCTTTGTCAGAAGAATATGAACATGAGTGGAACCTTTGGGCACGTCCTGCAGTGGTTACACCCAGTTGTGCCAGGATTTCAGCTTTCAATTTGCTGTAGTTACTTGCATCCACTGGTTCTAGGTCATAATATGCCTTCAGCGGGTCTCCACTTAGGAACGGTGCCAGTATGCTTGCCCACTCATCAGCCGACCATCCCTCCCTCTCAGCAGTGCGTTCAAATGCCAGAAGGTACGCCTCAACATCATCTGACGCAGTCATTTTCTGAAGGTAGTGTCTCGCCCGAATCACCTTTGGCCCCATTTAGCTTTTCAGAGATAGCTTGGATTTCCTGTTGTAGTCCCTGGGTGACTTTTTGCTGCTCCTCACGAGCTACTTTAAACATCTCCGCTTGTGTCACAGCAATCTGTTTCACCAAGGACTCAGTGCACTCCATCTGTGTTTTGGACAGGACTTTTGGAGCATTGGCCCACCCTGTTCTCCAAATGCTCCGCCCCAGGGACCCATACCGTGTTTTGCAGAGCATCAGCAATGTATATTGCAAACTTTAACATTTTTCCCTGGGGCATTTAACTGAAAATTCTCTGGTTGCTGTTTAGCAAATCAGGCCTGATGTATCTTCCATCAACCACTTTTCCACTTTTTCGCTCACAAATGTTAAACACAGATCTGCACACACCATCTGCCATAAAACTTGCTATTCCAACAGAAATCTCACATTTGCTTTGCTGTTACTACTGCAAGGGATTCTGGGTGGGCATATCCAAATGAGTTCAACAAAGAACCAACTTTTTACCTCATTTATTCCACAGTATACATGAATTTCTTGGAGTTTATGTCGGTTGTATACAACCGCTTCGAAACAAAACTCAGGAAGAAGTGAAAAGCCAAATAGCCGCTCATGGACAGCTGTTTCGTTGGTATCAGCATAAGGTTGGTTATTACACATTGTCAAACACAGATCTGCACACACCAGAAAAGCCATAGGACTTGTTTGTAGAGTACATTTTAATATCCTAGGAGCCTATAAATGACTGCCGAGTAGATGGCCATGTTCTAGGACTGTCAGATCCTGATACCTGATACTATAAATGTAAATAGAATGTATGACTGTGTCCTATGGTCTGCCAGAACATGGTTATTTATACCTACATGTCATCAATGAACTAAGACTTTACAAGCTGGACATATATATGGTTTGGCATAATGAGTCCTGCTAGTACACCTAGTCTCTTATAGAGCGGCATCTTGTATGTTCTACTGGATGTATTTAATGACCTCTGATGTGGGTACTGAGCCTGAAAATGCACAGTAGAACTGACGTGCAATGCTTATTTCCCCCAAAATTAGCAAGTAGTACAATACCAAAAATAATTAATAAGCAAATGCCAACAAAATGATTGGTCGATAGCTAAACCATTCCCTCCAACAAACCAAGTGGTGGAAATGTCTGTGAGTTTGCAGAACTAGAGTTGACCTGCAGTTGGCTTTTGTTACAAAATAAAAGTTAAAATATCAGGAGATGATAACCAACCAGTGTACCCCGAGCCTGGCCTTATTGGATTGCAGTGTATGCAGGATACATTCTTGGCTGTCCATGACTTTCTGGGTAGCAGTGACATATGAGCCATTTGGGATAGTAAGTATCTACACCTTCATATATGAACACAATAGATGTCAAGACGGATCAGCCATTTTATGTTCCTCGGATTGGAGAAATACCCAACTCAGTTAAAGATACGCATCAAACCAAGCACCAACACAGAAGAGTTAATAGCTAAAATAACCCTTCTAAATGGAAAAATGTGATATATTAATTGTGTTTCACTTCATCCCCCGAGGGGAGCAGAGAAATTATCAAGAAGGGAATGGAAAGAAATTAAACAGGAGGGGATCGAGTTAAAGGGCATTTATAAAAAGGGAGCGATCCTCTGTAGGAACACACTAATTATACAGGTAACTTTATTCTAAAACTTTTATAAAAACTTTAATGTTTCTGTCACGGGGGATCCCAAAATCTGTGCTGCCTGAAAGCTTAAAAAGGGAAGGGAAAATTGGGAGGCATGTGACTGCACAGCGCAAGGAAGAACGAGTGTAAGTAATTTAAAGTGAGGAAGTGGAAATGTTACAGTATTTGGCTATATAGAGCAACAGGAGGAGTTATAGGGAGAGGTTATATGGAGTAATAGGAGGAGTTATAGGGAGAGGTTATATGGAGTAATAGGAGGAGATATAGGGAGAGGTTATATGGAGTAATAGAAGGAGTTATAGGGAGAGGTTATATGGTGTAATAGAAGGAGTTACATGGAGAGGTTATGTGGAGTAATAGAAGGAGTTATAGGGAGAGGTTATATGGAGTAATA